GGCTGCTGATGCGATTTCGGGCTCTAACAAGGACAAGAGGAGGAATTTCGGAACCAAATTCTCACCATGTAGTGAACTTTAGGTGTACAACAGATTTATGTAAAAATTTTGAAAAACTTATGTGAATTGAAAGTTTTGCCCACCTCAGGTGGGCAAAACTAATTTGGAAAATAGTTGAGCACGCTCTTCATTCACATAAGTTTTTCATAATTTTTTATACATTGTTCCTTAGTCCTACTGCGCGTACACGCACCAAGTCTCGCGCGATTTCGTTTTCTCTGCGCTGCAATCGAGCCATTTTTCATTTTCTTGACAGGGAAAGTTTAGGAAAAAGCTTGCCACAACCTTTAGTCACATAATTTTCCAGCGAAACTTCTAAGTTAAGCCCTGCAGGCCTGTGTTCATGTATCTATCAAGTCCCATACCGTATGGTCATCTGTGCGCTGCAAACGAGCCATTTCAATTCACATCTTCACTTACCAGTTTTGCAAAATTTTTGGAAAAAATGCTTATTACTCCTCCCATTCACATAAGTTTTTCATGATATTTCATACTTTGTTTCTGCTAGCCTCTCTTCGTTCGCTTACATAATTCGGTGCTATATCGTTACGCCTGCATTGAGAACTGATCATGCAATCATGCTGTTCAACGGCATCGCTTTTGCGACGTCGCGCACGCGGCAAATAGCGGCGACGCGGCGTAGCGCGCGAACTCTGCTGTGCGCTGAGGCTTACGAAAACTACTTCTTAATGAATTAGATGTATAAGGTAATGAGCATGATTCGACCTTCTTTTGCTTGCACTTGGAATCTTCTTCCGGGGCTCCGCTATCGATCCCGCAAAAACGATTTCCCCCTTGCTTTTTCCAACAAAAACGACTTCCAGCTTGTCATCTGCCACCTCGTGCCGGGCCCTGGTTGTATAAAACGCGGGAGGGGTGAAAATAACATTTGCAATTAGTCATGCAACCACTCACGATGGAATTTCAACAAAGTACCGATCTTTACATTTTGTGCAAATTTCATGAGGACGTGTTTTCGTAGGCTTGCAACTCGACGAATTTTATAGACTGGAGCCCTACTCATACACCATTCGATAGCTCAGTTCCTAGTCACTTTGACTTCGAAAAGCAAGCAAGCAAGGTTTCTGAGAGATACGCGAGAAGTGCGGGCAAAGTTACGCACTTCCGTGGTGCAGTTACAGTTACCTCACCGTATCTCTCCAAAAAGCCACTGTAATCCTCAGAGACCACGATTTTCGTAAAGAGCGTGTTCGAAAACCTCTATAAGCGAAGTTTCCTTACAATTCAAGAGCATCAACATTTTGACCAAAATCCATCGGCGAGCTTCCAGAGCGTAGAACGAGAAAAATGAAATAACCCGAAAATCTCAGAAAACTTGCTCATAGTGGTTATCCGACCTGCTGATTACGATAATCACATCTGCTTAGCAAGAGAGCATCATATTCTATGGCTATGGCGAGTAGATATTGGGACGACAAGATTTTTCCACAATCCACCAGCCCATCTTTTTCCTTTGAAAAGAAAATTGCGGCTACTGTTTAGCGCATCATAATCTACAGAAAAAGTACTATCAAGAGGTCCCTGCTGGAATCTACTCGGGACAATGCTCGCTGCTTTACACCTTCGAGAAGAAACGTCCGCAGAAAGATTCAAGAATACTGAAATCGAGATATCAAGGACATGCTGTTCACCAAAAGATTCGCCTTGATGAGCTGAGCACAGCACCGTTTTCGTATTCAGAATATACTTATTCTGGAGGAAGTTATGGCGAGTAGAACTTAAAGGCGCGTGATTTTTGCAGAATTCACCATCTCTTTTCGCGCTTTATAAAGCATGTCTCCGTCTACTTTTTACCGCTGGATTATCTACGGAAACAACTCTTTCCGATTCGCCTTACTCGAATCCTTTAAGTATGAAAGGGGCTGGCCCACAGCGTTGCAAAGAGGCGTCTGCAGAAAAAAGTGAAGTTTTGCTGGAAGCAGAATATCATAGTCATGCGGTGTGTCACTTTGCTCACATAAGCAACAAGACATGCTGATTACAAAGATTATTATTGTTTTGCTAATCATAGTGTTACTGTATAGTTTATGTTTGTTTGACGGTAAGTGGTTCATGTATATTTACTAAGTTCACGTACTCCTTTCTCTTTTTTCCACTACAAAAAAGGATACGGTTTTCTGCTGGAAACACTCAGCAGAAACTTTTCCATCAAATGCTCTTTTTCTTAAACCTTTGCCTACATTATGCGCCAATTTGCCTACATTATGCGCCGAAATACACACTCTAGAAAACACCACCACAGGATGCAACGGATTCCTACCATGTACTTACCGTGACCGAGCCGATTACAGCAGTTCAATAAATGAAAAGATTCGTTTCGGCGAGCTAAATCCAAATCTGCCTTCAAATCTGAAATCCATTGAGAACGAAGGGAGTTATGACGAAAAGACGCAAAGTCGGCGACATCGGCGACATCGGCGAATTTGGCGACATCGGCGAATTCGGCGACATCGGCGAATTTGGCGAATTCGGCGAATTCGGCGAATTCGCCGAAATTTTTCACATTCCACTGTCACAACTGTACTTGCAAAGGCCTATAGCAAAGAAATTTGCATGTGGGAACAGCCCAGCATTGCTCTAGCAAGCGCTGGCTAACTATTATTTCTTAGTTTGTCGGTATAGAAATCATAAGAGCTATTCATATGATATTCTGATGCAAAATGTATACATCTCGAACACGTTTAGGTTCGTACAGTTCTTTTGCACAAAAAGTCTGACTTCCAAATTTTGTTTTTTTTTTTGAATTTTGGCTTCATTCTGCACGTGAATAAATCTTGTTGCAGATGTTTCAGCGCCATCTGTTGGACAGCTCATTTGCCATACTTTTCTCACCCGAACCAAAGGAATACGCATAAATTTTGCACCGAATTATTAGCTAAATTCCGAACATTTGCAACATTGTGCATAAAAGGGGTGGACCCAGGATTGTTAGTTTTCCAGAAGTTACAGTGGAGTGTAAATTTTAATACTTGTGTTATACGCATGACTTTTCGGGAGGTCGGTAGATTTTTTTCGATTAAGATCCGACTTTGGAGCAGGGTCAAGGCGATCCTGGACCCTCATTCACGACCCTCCCCCCTTGAAGGTATCCATCCGTACGACTCCCCCCCCCCCCCTCCCTCCTCCTCCCCCATCTATCCCCCTTACCTCCCCTGCCCACATTTCTCGCGGTAACCTGCATAAACGAATGTCAATCTCAAAAAACACCTGCGTGAGAACTTCAGTGAGGTTTCGGAAGCAGAATTTCTAGGGCAATGGATGCGCCCAGCATCTCTAGCACATATGCAACCTGCAATAATGTTTGAGATTCTGCAAGTTTACTTTTGAATTTTCAGGCGTACTTCAGGCCAGCAAATTCGATTCCCGTATGCGACACAAATTTTTACACGGAGAACAAAATGACATTCTTAAACTACAAAAGATGTTTTCGACTAAGAATCTCAGTTCTTACCTCTTCCACAGTTTTTCCTGCGAAAAAAACCGCTTTAGCGCCGTCCAGAACGACGTCGAAAACGTGCATGAGCACGGTAGTTTGAAAATTCGTAACTAAGGCCAGGAAAAGGCTGAGAGGCTGCAAGGAACAGGTTCTGTAGCATAGTGCCCAGAACTATTCATAGAAAAAGTTTCAGACCTTGAGGAGCAGTGAGCTCGAAAAAATTTAGATCAGGCTCTCGCAAATTTAGATGCGATCCTAAAAAGCAAAAACTGGGATTTTTGAGCTCAAAATTTTGTAACTTACCAGAAAAGTTATGAAACAGCCTGAAATTGTTATGATGAAAACTAGAGGGATGGCCTCGTATTACAGCAAGTTTGCAGCTAACAAGGTTCAATAGCTTTGAAAAAAATTTAGATCAGGCGCAGATACGACCCCCCTTTTCTCATTTTTTGCTACCGTACATAAAATCATAAGAAAATCCGCAGTTTATAAAATATCACCAGATTTCGCACAGCGGTAGCAGGGCTTATCTAGAGTACATATAAATTGTAAGGGCCGCATAAATGGCATTACAAAAAGATTTACGAATAATTGATTGTCATCGTTGATCTACATGTGCGCTTTTGTCGAGTGTGCGAGTCTTCAGTGAGCCTTCGGAAGCAGGATTTCTACACCATCCAACACCTTTATCACACATACATGCCTTTAGTAGCATTTGAGCTTCTGAAAGTGTTTATTTTTTGAATTTTAGTCATGCCAGCAGGGTTCGATCCCCGTTTGAGACAATATCTTGCAGGAGAAATAGCGATTCCCATAAAAAAAGAACTAAGTCATAATCTTCCAAAAATGCACCAAATGAAGTGAATTTCTACGCTAATGTTTTCGAATTATTGTTCACTCGTTTCTTTTTGATACATGGGTACACGGCATTCCATGAATTTATTGTTAAGAACATGTAATAATTACTTGCTATTTGATTTGCTTTCAATCGTACGGTTTATTACCCAAACTACCCCCTCTTACGACCCCTCCCCCTCACCGTAGGCCCCCTTTACGACCCCCCGTTGCGACAGTCGCATCACACGCTTGACCCTGCTTTGGAGTATAATCAGATCTTCTTACTTATTAGCCCCAAACTTTACATTGAATAGATTGATGCGAATGTCCGACAGTCATCTTGTACAGCTTGCTTGCTCTATCGAACTTTCCCACACACAGCTTTTGGTGCATATCCTGTCGCGTTTGGCATGAAAAGCACCTTTTTTCTGACAACTTGATGAATAGCACTAATCGTTGCGATCTATCTCAAGTAGAGCAGGATTAAGCACACAGAAAGAAAGTGTTCAATGCGCAAAGTGTTTCTTTTCTCAAGATTAATGCAGTTACCCGCATTGAATGATTTTGCTATACGCGCTGAACTTTTGGTTTCTAAACAAGCTATTCACTCTTCTAAAGGCGTACAAAGCTTGTTTGGAATTTTAAGGACTCTTCTACCTTGGCATTCCTCGCGGTAAAGATGCGCTTTTTTACAACGCACATCGAATTTATGGTCGAATGCGATTGGCTATGATGATGACAGGTGTGCAGCCCAGATTTTTAGTGGGATACTAAAGGATGCTTTAGGTTTCCAATGGTTGGCGACGTACAGAGGAAACAACGCACGTGCGGTAACCGTGACTGAAGAGGATTATAAGAAAGTATCACATAAACAGGATTTGTACGTATTAAAAAAGATCTGAACGTGTAGTAAGGTATCCTTGTGCAAACTCTGTTATCTCTCTCAATTCGAAAAGATAAACATGTAAGCCAGGCATGTTACACAAGTCTGTGGTCTTAGCGGTGGTAGGCCATGATGGCAATTTGGAAAATCGATGAAAACATTTTTCGGAAAGAAATCCACACTTACTGCATGCTAATAAGAAAACGAGTAAAGCTAAGAAAAAAACGGTAATGTGTCCCCTGCTTCATTAGAAGTGGCGGGGAAGGGCGGAGCTTAAAATGCTAATGAAGTTTGAGAATTAATTGGAGCTTGCGAGAAAGATGCAAAGTTCAGAGCCCCACCCAGTACTTGCCACTCCAAATGAAACAAAGGGTAATGATGACGCTAGAATAATTTGGAGCAAAAACAACAGTTTTATACATACACGTAACGTGTAGGAAAGTAAGATTCCTACCACCACAGACTTATGATGAAGAGAAATCAAAAAAATTTTATGCAGTTTCTTAATTTCTTTATTTGAGAGAAAGCTTGATATTCTGTCATGTATTCATACTGTAATTCACCGCAAGTTTCACTGAGAAACAGATTACTTTCGAGCCAACATGCTTTCAAAGCATGTTGGCTCGAAAGTAATCTTGTGTTCACGATATGGAGTTATGATTCTCTTTGTTTCTAGGTTTTGCTATGCGTAAGTGACTAACATCTTTCTTAGAATTTCAGATTTTCATACTATAAGAAACTTTTCTGATTTCTAGTCGAGAAGAAAATTGTATTTGAATTGTTTTGAAGTACGGTGATAAGGACTACAATCTTGAAAGAAAGTTGCTTCAGGCAGCACTCTACTGTGCTACGGCTTAGTGTTGACATGAAGCGGCATAATAGCCGCAATGGTACATGCGATGATGGAACAAAGGAGCGTAACTATAGACTTTGTCTAATGTCTCATAGATGTATGTATGACTGATGAAACCCTATTGCATTCCAAGAGCAGAAAAATGCTGCTTTCACATGGCTGTTTCGTGTTTCAAAGATTGATTAATCAAGGAATGTTTCGATGCACTGCAAACGCCAGTATTTGCAACTCTCAGGGCCAAGCAAGAGGAGTTGCACACGGTCGCTAGATATGATCGCTGTCTCTATAAAACCCCCTTAACTATCATATATCTAAGATAAGCATAACTTGAAGGCCTTAACAAGTATAGCAAGTAATATAAACATAAAGCATGTCAAATAACCTCTGTAAACCAAATTTGAGCGAATTCTAAGGTTTCTTAGCACTGAAACACTCGAGTGCATTAGTCATTAAACATGATTAACTTTGTTTTAGAAATTTATTAGCTACCTCTTTTTGTAACCAATACAAGGCACTACCCTATCTTTGTCCCCTCAGAAACCTAGCTTCGATAGAGCTGTGAAATCAAAAGCAACAAATTCTCGTTTACCCCACTTTGATGGCTATGCTTTCACCAATTATTACTTAGAATAAAGAAGACGAATCAAGCTTAATTCACTCCTGTAAAAAATGCGAGTTTAAGGCTATCGGTTCTTGTAGTTGTTTGCGAAAAATGTTTTTTCGATATAGTTAATGGGGTGTGTCACAAACCCAAAAAAGTGGCTGGCAGCATCTGCTTTTTTGCCTCATTGTGCCTCATTCCATTAACTGTGTCCACAGAGCATTTTTAGCGAAAGTCTTTATATGAGCTGATACCGCAGTTTCGTAGTATTTATACAGGTGCGTTTCATGACTATACGACACCACTTCGAAATTTGAAACTTCCAGATTTACAGAAGAGATCTATTCCGGTGAGTGCCAGTGTGATCTACATATGTTATTGATTATATGACGTAACCAGTATTTTCACAATTCTGCTATTCTACATATAGATCAGAAGAACGACAAGCCCTTTGCTTTTTCTCTTGGGAAGAAGCTTAGATTGATCCGGTTTCAGCTGTGTTGGCTCTGATTACAGCATATGGCTGAACATCGTCATGCTAAGCCTAGCGAGGTACAGCAACGGCGTAAAGCACAAACAGTCAGATTGGAATTACCGTTTGATGCTTCTCAAAGCGGTATGAGAGTCATTTGGAAAGGCCACTTCGACTAATCGGATCTCTCTGGTACGTTGAAGCCAAACAACAAGTTACCTGAAGATTTTTTTGCAAATGCATGACGACATTCGCGAATCTTCAGGTAACTTGTTGTTTGGCTTCAACGTACCAGAGAGATCCGATTAGTCGAAGTGGCCTCTCCAAATGACTCTCATACCGCTTTGAAAAGCATCAAACGGTAATTCCAATCTGACTTCTGTATCTGCACCGCCTCTGCATGCCTAGCTATGAATATTTTCTTGATGCAAAAACTGAATGCACAACCTAGGTAAAATCAAATTTTACGGACTTTTCAGCGCTCAAATTGAGCATTGTTAAGTATGAGTGTTTCGGACAGAAGGTACTGTTGAAATTACGCAGACCCTTACTCAGAAAACGCCCGTAACTCGACGTTCACAAGCGTTCGGCAGGTAACGAAGACAGATTTGGAATCAGCGTTCGATGCTCTTTATAATCAATTTTATGTGAGATGGCCACTTTAACCAAACGGACCTCCCTGTTGCAGTACAAAGGAATTAGCCACCCTTTTTTACTCTGGGGTTACAATAAGAATTTCGAGCAAATTGTCTTTTTTCAAAGTCAGGTGCCACATTCTGAAAATAATTAAATGATACTCCGTAATGTCTGGAAACTTTTGTTGTGGGATTTCGACCCGCTCTGGAACATGATTTCGTACATCTTGAAGAGTAGTTCAAATGGTGACTGGTTTTTGATGACTGCACTAGAGATTACAGTGGAACGATAAGCTCGTAAGTAAAGCATTCCTCCGCTCACACAAAACTAAAAGAAAAGTGGAACATCTATTCACTTCAAGAGAAGCCTAGCAAGAATGACAGAATGCAACACCTCACTAGATGTATAGTTACCAAAAGCTGGGCCTTCAAAAATCACCATTAAAGCTGAAGAATTTTCAAGTGCAATGTTATGCGAAAGATTTTGAGTAAATTTTTTCAGTGAAATTTTTGTATTCGAAGTTGAAAGTAGGGAGTGGTAATCAGAAAATAATGTTAACTAAGTTGCAAGTGATGAACTTTTGCTTGTATACTGCCTCAAAAGGACACCGACAATTTCATTGGCGAATCCTATGAAATCTGTGGGTCAAAATTTAGAGTTTGAACGGGTTTGCAGTTATGAGACAAACTGCATATTGCATCTTGACACACAAGACTCCAGACGTTTTTTATGCATTCTGATTGCTTTGGTTTATTGGCTTAAAAGGCCAGGTGCTTTATCTAAAAATAAAAGAATGAATTTTGAAAGAAAATTCCGGTCTTCAATAATTTGAAAGTTCACAATTCATAAAACGAAAAAGTCCTGTAGGGAAGTTAACTTTTCTTACCCGTACAACTTCCAATTTTCACTTACTTTTATGCCTAGTAAACGCGCCTTTCAATTTGCATTACAAATCTGTTTTTCAAATTTCTCAGAATCATCTTCAGGCAAAGTTATAAATATTGATTCGTAAAGGATATCCTTTCCAAGTTTTCTTGGATCCTTGCCAAAATATTCTTCACAGCGCTCGCGCTCTTAATTATCTCCTGCGGATACAAGCGGCAGCCCTTTGGTTCCTCCTCACCACCGCCGAAACGTACCGTTAGGGGCTGCGGGTGCTCGCAATTATTGTCTGAGCAATGAATCGTGTAAGTAAAGCAGTCTCCATATTGTGTGTCTCGGCCAGCTTCTCAATACATTTGCGAACTCGCAGTGCAACCTTCAGTTCCACTCTTGCTTCAGTTTCTGGTGGAAGATTCCTCCCTTTTCTTTTTAGGTTTTGCTGCTTTATAATCGCCTAACTCAGGTGTAAGCAACTAGAACAATTGTTTATGGAGGGTACTTACGTACACTGATGATCCTGAAAGCATTTGTCTCAAATCATTCTCTTTTTCTCCTGAAAAGTTGAGGTTTGAGATTTTCCTGAATCTTTCTACGTGTTTTTGAGATTTTTTAAGAGCTTCTTCGGCTTCTTTCCGCGTCTTTAGCGCTTGGATTTCTTGAGGAAGCATAATCGGGATCTTGATTTTGAGATCTCGTATGCGCTTGCGGGAGGGTCAGAACTATCTCTTTTTGTAGAAAATCAATAGGACGCAGTGCACTAAATTCTTCCAAGTCCGTGCTTTGAATACGTCAATGGTTAAGCAGGCTTCTATCTCAGTCAGAAAGTAGCTGATCTACGGTTGGCATTGGCATGCAGCGCAGTGCTTTGTACAAGGTGTGTTTGACTGACTTTATTAAGCGCTCATAGAACCCCCCTTGCCAGGGGGCATACGGCGTGATATGATACCAGTGAATTTCCTGGTTTGCGAAAGTTCGCGCCAGTTCTTCACTCAAGTCTGATATCCCTTTTTCGGCGCTTAAGATTACTTCGCATAAAAGGAAAGTGGGCGCGTTATCACAAGTGATGGATGTTGGTATTCCCCTCCTTGCGATGAATCTCCTCAGCGCATTCAGGAAGTCTACTATAGCCATGCTTTTCACTAATTCCAGATGTACTAGGCGCGTTACCGTGCATGTAAAAATGCAACCTTAGGTTTTTCTTTGCTCGTTATTTTCTTTGGAAATTGGTAGGTCGAAAAAGTCTAATCCTACGTGTTGAAATGGACGACTTATTTGCACTCTTTTTTCTGGGAGGTCAGTCGTGTAAGGATATGCGTATGGCCGAAAGTTGAATCTTTTACAATTCGCGCACCGAGAAACCTCTTTCCTTACTTGTTGCCGTAGCTTGGGGATTCAATAACGCGTGCGCACTGTAGCTATTGTGTGGTCGACTCCTCTATGGTAATTGCCATGCGCTTCGTGGATTATAAGCTTTGCTAATGGCCTATTCGGCCCTATATAGATTGGATTTTTTGCGCTTTCGTTTATGGGGAGTTGCCTAACCAGATCGCCAGATTTTTTGGTCATCTTTAAAAAAATCTTAGTGAATTATCCAGGGACTTGGTTTCTGATGATTTCTGACCAAGGCTAATCGCGCTGCTTTGATCGTGGTACCATTCAAAGGCAAGTCCGGGAGGAC